TATTTATTTAAAAAAATATTTTTTATATTACCAAACTACATATAAATTCAATATAATAATAATATTATTATATCTGTATCTATATTATATATATTATAAAGCATTTGACAAAAACTCTTAAAAACAAATTTTTATGCATAAAGTACTGTTTATTAATGCATATTACTTAAAATTCAAGATTACAAGTAGAATATGCATAAGTACATATTATTAAAACTTCATATTTGAATCCGTGTAACTAACTTCAGATAAACACAATCAAATACATGATAAACATCATTTTAAATTTAAAAAATTTAAAATATAATTAAGATAATTATTGAGTTCTAACAAAATACTTAATTATTATCTTAAAAAATTATTTTATTAAACCAAAAATAAATTAGTTCGTTATTAAATTTCAACTGAATTATAATAAAAAATTGAATTAAAGAAATTGCAGAAAAACAAAAACTTTTAAATAGTTAGTTTGATACTAATATCGATTATTTTTTTTTCAAAATTTTATAATATCTTCAAATTTATATCTCATTCAAAAATAAAAACATTTTCTTTTTCTCAAAACTATATAAGATCGCATTATAACATCGATAGACCCAAATTATAAAACGAAACATTAAAATCAAGATGTATCTCGCTGCATTGCGCGAGTACCCTTCTAGTGTATTATATAAAGATTTATTTAACAACTATTTGGATATATTAAAAATCGAGGAAACTGTAACTTAAAAATCGTTTTTCCATTTATTTGACTTGTAAGGCAAGCAAACTATGATATGTAGCTTTTTTCGGTTGAAATGACCAAAGTAACCAATTTTTAAAAGTTCGATAATTTATTTATTAAAAAATATATGTAGGGATGATTTTTTTTTAAATAACTATGACTCAGTGAGTTACACAATATTAACTATTTTATTTTATTTTCTTCACAATCTTTTAATTACATCATTTTAAAAAAATTATAATAACCCAAAAATTTGAAATACTACTTTCTGTAAAAATGATTATATTTTTCAAGTCGTTTTATAAAAATAACTTTTAAATTATACAATTGTAAAAAGATTTAAAATAATTTAAGTAACTAGTTTTCTAAAAAGCTCAATCATTTAATTATTCAAAAAAATGCAAAACTTAATCATTCAACATAAAAATGGTTCAACAATTTCGTTAATTTTCTGAACTTTTTCCTTATTAAATTTAATACAAATAGTTTACATAAATATCTCATCAATTAAAATAACTAATTAATCATAAAAATTAACTTTTGAATTAAACTATTTTAAGTTTTTCAAAATAATTAAATAAGACTTTAATACTTATCTATAGTATATTATAAAGCATTTGGCTAAAACTCTTAAAACTCTTAAAAACTCTTAAACCCGTTCATCCCTAA